ACTGATTTGACAAAATAAGGCAAAAATGTGAAGCATTATCACAGGGTGGGTGGAGTAAAAAAAAAAATAAATAAGTCACTAAGCAAGCACACAACAATGTACAAAATGCCACATGCAATGAAAAAAGGGAATGGAGAAAAATACGAAAGTTTTGCAAATCTTTTCTTCTTTTTCTTTTTTTTTTGCTTTGGCTCCCTAACCGTTTACCTGCCATATATTGTTCATATGTTTTTCTCATTTTTTAAGCCCAGTGGTATATGGTAGATTTTCTTTTTCTTCCTCTGCATTTTCCCAATTTTACACCATTCTTGCACGTTCCCAATTTTACCACATTTTTGTACGTTCCTAATTTCCCCACACTTTTGTGCCTTTCCCGTTTTTGCCTCTTCCATAATTTCCTTTTTTTAATTTTCCACATCATCAACCTTTGGACTAGCAATTTGTTCTTATCCATCTATGTGATTATGGTACTTTTTTTTTTTTTTCTTACCCTCGTCCAAGAAGTGTTAACGTGTTAACGTAACCTTCAAAGAGGTCTTAAGTCGTTAAAATGGAACATTGCCAAGTGCGTACAAATGAATTCATTTTGAGTATATACATGTAAGTGCTTCGCTTTTTTTTTGCCTTTATTTCCCTTTTTTTTCCCCTTTTTTTGCAGTTTTTTTTCCCTCTGCGCGTCCTCTTACAAACGTGCGCCCCTTTCCCTTTCCCCCTCCCACGCAGTAATTAACTCCATTGGGAATAATTAAAAAATGCCATAAAACCTGCGCTGCGTAAAACGCGACAGAACGTCAAGTGGCAATTGGGAAACTCGCCGATTGTTACTTTGCGCATACGGCTTTGCTCATAGGGGCATGATGTGTTAACGTGTGACTACATGCCTAGGTGCATACGGTCACACATGCATATACGTATGTTCCTTTTCCCGCATCCCACTGTTAATTTGGCCCATAGTGGCATCTTAACATCTTGTATCTCCTTCTTAAAAAGAGGACTGCTCAAATTCGTGCAACTCTTTTGAAGCACATTTGACGACGACAGGTACCTCGCATTGGCAAATCAGCACCTGCCGACAAATGCTCGCAGAGCTGATGCCATCACTCGAGTTGTTCGCATAACGTCCATTTTGTGTGTCCCAAAAGATAAGAAAAGAAAAATGGACAGATAGGAGCCATCGTCACGTGGAACATACACATTGTGCACACAAATGTAGACATTTTATTTCATTTTTCTCTTCCTCATTTTTTTTTTTTTTTCTGTGCATATCCCTCTGTGCAGAAAAATGTCTAGCGAAGAGTATGACCACCTTTATAAGATAATTTTAGTTGGAGACGCAACTGTGGGTAATTTAAAAAAAGGGGAAAAGATGGCGCAGTATTTTTGGACTTTTACGTCTAACGAACGCTGCACATTGTTTGCAGCAGGTCTCCATCGTGGCAGTGACACCACTGCCTCATGCACAACCGTCACTTCCTTTTCTCTTCAAATGCGTGAACAAATTGGGGATTATTTTCTGACCGTTCAGGTAAAACCCACCTCCTGTCGAGATACATACGGGGCTCCTTGCCTAGTGTTGCAAAGGCGACAATTGGTAAGCCGATAAAAAATGAACCGCTAAAAATTGGGAATATGTTTGCTTCATCCATTTGTTGCTTTTTTCTTCCGAAGGGATGCCATATTTTTCTTTTTCCCCCTCATTCCATTACGCAGGTGTCGAATTTGCCACCAGGACGATTCCGTTGGCGGTAGGGGGGACCGTCAAGGCACAGGTAATATAACGGTAGGAGGAAGCTACACAGTGGTGCATGTCATTAAATGTTTGCATATATGAGCAGGCACCAATTTTGCTCTCTCTTACAAATCTTCCTACACACCAACCAAATCTGTACTCTGTTGCAAATCGGTCTACACACCGCCTACACCCCTTACGCCTGACCGCGAAAACGCGCAGATATGGGACACCGCCGGGCAAGAACGGTATAGAAGTATTACGAGTGCCCACTACAGAAGAAGCGCAGGAGCCATACTGGTCTATGACGTGACGAAGAAAAAGACCTTCCTCAGCATTTCCAAATGGCTGGAGGAAATTCGCCAAAATGCCGACAAGGACATTGTCATTATGTTGGTGGGGAATAAGGTGGACCTAGTGGAGCACGACGAGATGAAGCGGAAGGTGAGTCTTCTCTCCTCACGTGTGTGGAGCTTGTTCACACGTGTATTCACCCCCGTAAAAATGGAGGGCGCAGAATAAGCCGATGATACGCTTCTTTTTTTCATCCCCCCCGTACACATAGGTAACGTACGAACAGGGAGCAAGTTTCGCTAGGGAAAACAACCTATTCTTTGCAGAGGCCTCTGCTGTCTCCAAATTGAACGTAAAACATGTTTTTGAAAATCTGCTGCAAGAAATATATAATAATCGAATGAAGAATAACAGCTGCAGTTTGAGCACGCGAAGTAGTGCCACGTGCGAAAGTCCTATCCAGTTAACCAAGGCGAGAAGTACCATCAAATTAAATGACTTAAATGAAAATGAGAGTGCAGATGAGTCTAGACCTCGGAACCCGTGCTGCTAAATTGGGAAGACCACTTGGGTGTGTGGTCACCATTTGACATGTGTCCCCTCCGTAAGAATCAGAATATTTGTATTCCTCCCCCCACGCCAGCCGCTTACAAGGGTCTCCTTTTTTGGGAAAAAAAAGAAAAAATTAACCTGTTCATAGCATTGCTATTCACGTCGCGTTTAACATGATAGTGATGGTGATAGCGATAGTGATTTTTTTTTTTTTTTTGCGCATTTGTCTACCGTAACCGTTAAAGTTGTTACTTAATCGCGAAATGTGTATTTTTTTTTTCTTTTTTCCTTACTCTTCCCTATTTGTTGTATAATTGTACACTTTTATTCTCATCCGTGTGTATAGGCCTCTCCACTTTACGCATTCCCCTTTGGTATTATTTATTTAATTTTTTTTTTTTTTGTCACAAATGAAGATGATACCTCTGATTGCATA